ATGTGACCAACGTGTTGAAGCATCAATCAACACCATAAAATATCGAAATGGTCCACGTGGCGGGGCTATCGGCCCACAAATATCTCCTTGAATCCTTTCTAAAAATGCAGGCGATTCAGTTGCAATTTTGTTCATAGAAGGCCTGATGATCATTTTGCCAAGAGAACAGACCTTACAAGGAAAATCACTTGATAATGGAACCCTGATATTCTTTAATGGGTGTCCAAGTGAAGTTTTAATGATTTTATGCATCATTACTTGGTCTGGGTGACCTAAACGGTCATGCCACAACATGAATGTTTTTTGATCATCTAACTTTGCGTTAGAAACCAAATTTATTTTGAATGGACTAATATAAGTGAAATATAGTCCTGAGGAATAAGCTGACATTTTTTCACAAATATGTTTAGTGCCAAATTTAGTTGTCGTAAGACAAAGATATTCCTTTTGGTTTTCATTCATGGTTTCTATGTGATAACCATTTTGACGCATATCTTTAAAGCTTAATAAATTTCTCCGCGATTTGCTGGAGTATAAAGCGTCATTTATAAGTAATTTTGTCCCACTAGGGAGCATCACATATGCTTTCCCAGAGCCTTCAATGAGCTTCGCAACACTTGATATTGTATTGACTTTAACTTCAACTAAAGTCATTTGAGAAAAATATATTTTATTTCTCAAAATGGTATGTGTTGTGGCGTTGTCTATCAGACATAGCTCTTTATCGATCACTTGGATGATCCATATCTTCAATATATGTAAATAAGTATAAGTTCGATATGCCAAAAAATCGTACGAACTAATTGATTTCATTATGTCACAATGTCAGGCAGTCTAGTAAAATGTTACCACCTATTTAGTTCATTTGTTTTGATTTGGCAGATAAAAACAAAAACAACCGAACAGCTATCCAAAAGCAACTCTCAAAGTCTGAAACTTGTTATGTGGCTTATTGAAATAACGTACACGTAATAATGCACTTGTTTAATTAGGAGTGATAGGCTAGTTGTGCATGTGACGTTGTGGCAGAGAGACCTATTCTTATATGCATGTAATAGTGCTTATAGATATATTATTTTATTCTACTGTGTTCTAATGTGTTTATTAAGGCATACCCGTGATGATACAAAGACAAAAATTATTATCAGACTAAATTGCTAGCCTATATACATACACGTGAAAGCAATAGGAGGTAATATAAGCAACATCAATTCTCTTACCCAATTTACTTTGCACTTCCCTCATAGTTTCACGTAGTATTACATCAATATCTTGGTCTCTTCAATTCTTTCTATTACTCCTGCTTTCATTATCTATCTTCCATTTATTTACATAGAGCACCGAAGTATCATAATTTAAGTGGGAAAACTGTCAAATAGGTCCTCGAACTTTCATAAAAAGGTCAATTAAGTCCTTCTATATGAGGTTTTGTCCGGCCGTCGCGATTTGGGGCAGTTCCCGATGGAACTTTTTGATGAAATTTTTTTAGCATCTTATTCACCAAGTCTAGTTTACTCATACCAAATTTTAGCTAAAAATTCAATCGGGAACACATTCAAATTGATTCTTGAAGATAACTGCGCATTTTTGCGTTCTCGAATTAATTTGAATGCGCTCCTGATTAAATTTTTAGCTGAAATTTGGTATGAGTAAACTAGACTTGATGAATAAGATACTCAAAAATTTTCATCAAAAAATTCCACCGGGAACCGCCCCAAATTGCGACGACTGGACAAAGTCTCCTATAGAAGGACTTAATTGACTTTTTTATGAAAGTTCGAGGACCTATTTGAGAGTTTTCCCTAATTTAAGTCAATTCTTCTACCATTTGCTTTTAAGGAGAATATATGCCAGAATCCGGATAATTTGTAGGTATGTATATTTTTCTTTTATTATATGAAACGGAGTTTAATTTTAAACAAAAGCTCAACATACATTCCACACCATTTTGTATACTAAAAAGGATGATAAATATTGGAGTTAATACGGTTATACCTGCAAGTCGGAAATGGTGATTGTTGAAGAGCTTAAGTTGAAAAACTTGACCTGATTCTTGAGAGTTTTGAGCAGATTCGTGTTGATAACGTGTTGTGAAATTAAATGAAGAAGATGCAGACCAGATTAAAGAGATAGATATATTAATAAAAGCTCTACATTACCTCTTCTTAATATCTGAGATTTTCTGAGTTTCTGAATTGCTTGAATTAATTTTACAAAGGATTGAATGCCCTATTTATACTAGCCAGACTTGGGATGAATCATCTAATGATTCTACATAATTTGCTAGCAACATTAAACCTAAACATCTGTCTTAGGCTAAAGGGTCAAATAGGTACATGAACTAACTTAAAGTGTTCAATTAACCCCTTATAAAGGAGTTTCTGCCCGGACGTCGCCAATTGGGGCGGTTCCCGGTGGAATTTGTTGATGAAATTTTTTGAGCATCTTCTTCATTAAGTCTAGTTTACCCATACCAAATTTCAGCTAAAAATTCAACCGGGAAGGCAGTCGAATTATTTTCCGAAATGTACTGCGCTGTTTAATTTTTCAGAAAATCATTCGATTGCCTTCCCGGTTGAATTTTTAGCTGAAATTTGGTCTGGGTACACTAGACTTAATGAAGAAGATGCTCAAAAAAATTCATCAAAAAATTCCACCGGGAACCGCCCCAATTGACGACGTCCGGGCAGAAACTCCTATATAAGGGGCTAATTGAACACTTTAGGTTAGTTCATGTACCTATTTGACCCTTTAGCCTCTGTCTTATTACAAGGACTGGAATTGGATTAGTGTCCTGATGACAAGGATGAAACATTCACACTTGTCATTCTCAGGAATTTACAACATATATATATATATATAATGCAATGTTTTTCAATATTTTATTTAAAAAATAATATATGTTACACTTCCTGGTTGAATTTTGAGCTGAAATTTGATGGATATAATTTACACTTCATGCAGAACATGTTTACAAAATCTCATTAAAAAAAATTAGCCGGAAGCATCTTCAATGAAAGTGGTTAGACAGTGTTGTGGTTAGGAAATTCTTGTCAGGAATATTTGTCTTCTATAATATACTCCTTCGTCCCCCAATTAAGTTCCCACTTTCCTTTTTGGGCAGTCCCTAAATTAAGTTCACACTTCAATATTTTCCTTATTTGACAAATTATCTACATCAAAACGGTGTCAAACAGTGTATAAATAGTGTTTAAACAGTGCAGAACAGTGCACTCCACAGTAAAATCAAATTTATTTTCTTAATATGTGTGAAGTCAAACCAGGAACTTAATTGGTGGACGGAGGGAGTACCTTATATATTGTGGATCAGACCAATTGGAGTAGTGACCATTTTCGTACTTTAGTACACTTTTATAGTTATTGTTTGTTTGTAAATGTATTTGTTATTTGAGTTCACTTAAAAAAGGAATTAATATTCTATTGATTACGTTGTTTTTTCATAGTAAATTACTAATATTATTACTGATTATTGATCAGTTTATTACTATGTACTTTTTATTTGTTGTCTCATACAGTCATACTAGTATGAGAATATTATTTCAAGGTTGAACTACATGCTATTGGATGTGTACCTTGCAGCTAATATAAAACTTTATTAGGCATGGCAATGGGTCGAGGCGGGGCGGGTACTGCAAGACCCGAACCCGCCCCGTGACTTGGCGGGACGGGTCCGCCCCGCCCCGTGACCTGCACGGGTCCAAGCTTGTTGACCCATGACCCGCCCCGCCGTAACCTAATTAGCTAGTATGTATTTTTATTTGTGGGAAGTTGTTACCAATTGAATCTACATAAAACTTATCTCTAAATAATAATTAAAAATTAATATATTAAATCAAATTCATGATACGCTAAAAAATTTCAAAAATTAAGGAAAAATTACTCTGACTTGAATAGTTAATCTATTTAATTATATTAATAATTGAATATATGTATTAAAATGCTATATATAAAGAAGACATTGATAATTCGTCATTCATCTCATTCTAATATATATTAATATATATATATATATATATATATATATATATATATATATATATATATATATATATATATATATATATAAGATCAAAGAATTTATGATTTATTGTATTCACGCATATGTATGTTCAAGTACATTTGTAGTATAATTTAAGAAAAAGTATATATACTTGTATATTGAGCAGGTCGGGGTGGGTCAATTCTAATACATGGACCCGCCCCATCGTATAGGCGGGGCGGACCCGCCCCATTTGCAAGACGGGGCGGGGCAGACCCACTCTAAATGTCTCGGGCCAAGGCGGGTCATTGCGGGTCGGGTTTTTTTTGACACCCCTAAATGTTATGTTTTTGTTATGTTTAAATTTAATGTTTGCATTTAGACATTTTTGTGATATTAGAACATTGAGATATTATGTATGTATAATGTAATGATCATAATTTTGATAATTATTTTCATGATTTGAATTTTGAATTTTTTTCATGTAATTGAAGGTAAAATGTGTTCATTTTACAAAGATAATAAATTTTTATAAGGAACGTAACAAAAAAAAGATAAGAATCGAACTGAATTTATCAGATGGAGTACTTCTTGCTACTTACGAAGTACTTCGTAATAGATACTCCGTTATATTTTATCTGTCCTTTAAAACTTTGTCAAATTTGACCAGCTCGTAGATTAGTAAAGTAAAAATTATACTACCTCCGTTTTTTTTTAATCTTCACAGTTTGACTTCACACAAAATAAGGAAAGAAATTTGACTTTACTGTAGAGTACACTATTGAGGCACTGTTTGACACTGTTTGGCACTGTAGAGACACTGTTTGGCACTGTTGAGACACTGTTTGGCACTGTTTGGCACTGTTTTGATGTAGATTTCTTTGCCAAAAAAGGAAATAAGGAAGTGTGAAGTTTATTTTAGACCGTCCCAAAAAGGAAAGTGTGAAGTTTATTAAAAACCGGAGGGAGTATTGTTTAGATTTGCCAAATTAAAGCTGGTGAGACATCTTTAAAAAAAAGTTGACAATGTTTTACATCTTGAATACCTAACTAGCCTATGCTTTGAGATATGATTGTAACGTAAACTAGACAAATTTAAATCATTAATTTTCCTTCGAAGAATAAACTTGAAAAACAAGTCAAGATTAAGAAGAGATTTTCTGTTTGGCAAGAATCAATCAGTAATACTCCACCGGGATGTCTGAACAAGTTGCATTTGAAAAATCACTTGGATTTATAGGCTGAGGGACAAACGGCGGCGTTTCACGCCTCAAGAGCACCCAATTCACCCCGTAGAAGAAGGCATGATGCTTCACCGCCGTGGCTCCCCTCTGAGACCCCAACCTCCTCGCCGAATCCTTTGCCAGTAATCTCGTTATCAGATCCTTCGCGGCGGCGGGAATGGCAGGCTCCTTCGGAAATTCCAACGCCCGAGCCAAAATGTTAGCCAGAGTATGTTCGTGATCAGCCCCCTTAAACGGCGTCGTGCCGTAAAACATCTCGAAAATGAATACCCCGAGCGTCCACCAATCCACCGCGCTGCCGTGGCCTTCTCCCGACACGACCTCCGGCGCCAGGTACTCGTGAGTTCCGACGAACGACATCGACCGGATGTCTATCGGCTCCGCCACCATCTCGAGCACCGAGTGCTTGCGTCGTCTGCCCTTTCCTTTGCGCTTCCGGCTCTGGTGGAAGCACGAAACCGCCGGAGCTATGCAGCCGAGTTTCAGCGTGGCTATGCAGCCGAGCTGCAACCACTTCTGATGCGTAGAACCTGGAGAGGAGGCACCACCAAAGCATAGAAATCAGATGTAAGCTATAAACATTAGCTATTATATTATTGCCTAGTACTCTTCCGGTCAAGAATTCCTGACCGGAACCGCCGTCCGGACGGCGGCGTTTGGCCGCCTTCCCGGTGAAATTTTTCGATGAAATTTTTATGACATATTCTTCATCAAGTCTAGTTTATCCACATAAAAATTCAGCCAAAAAATCATTCGGGAAGGTGATCAAATGATCTTCAGAAGATATTTGCTCCAAAAATATACGTATAAAAAGCAGTTATCTTCCAAAAATCATTTGACGACCTTCCCAATTGAATTTTTAGCTGAATGTTTTTGTGAATAAACTAGACTTGATGGAGAACATGTCATAAAAATTTCATCAAAAAATCCCACCGGGAAGACGGCCAAACGCCGCCGTCCGGACGGAGGTTCCTGTCCGGAATTCCGGACATGAACATTTGTGTATTATTCATCAAGTATGGAGTCATGCCAGTGGTTCAAAGGTACCATTGGCTATATGTATGGAGTCATATAAACTCGAACAAAATTGATTGATCTACACCTTTTTGTGTATACTATTCATACATTTTATCTATCTAAAGATATAAAGTTGTTGTTTTTTACAAAAGGGGGTCTGAGGGAGGCGGGCTGGGGGAGCCTGGAGTAATATGTGTCTAGCGGGATTCGAGCTCGAGACCTCCCACTAGGCACGGTAACCTCGCAACCAGTTGGGCTGAAATGCTTGGTTATAAAGTTGTTTAATTTGTATACTTAAAGTTTATGTATTTCCAAAGGAATTAGTACACAAACAACATTAGTTGTGTAGACAAACAAAATAAGTGCAAATTATATTATACACCCGGATGTACATGTACACCCGGTTTTTAAATGACGTGGCAGGCTGAATCATCTGGTCGCTCCCAGTTGCTTTAATTTCTTATTCCGCCTCCATCGCATATAAGCCAAGGCTTCGGAAAATCAAATTCGGTAGTCCGGTTCAAATCTGGATATCAAAGTCACGCACTCACGCCGTCATGATAGTTCGTTTTACACAAGCAGAGCAAAATAATAAACACATACGTTTCCTACATACTTGGTTTTCTATAACCTTTTTAATTTTGTGTTTTTGATTTTATGTTTTTCGTTACTTTTGTATTTTTACTTTCTTTTACTTTGTCTTTTTTCTTTTATTTCATTTAATTTCTTTATTTGTTGTTTCCTTCTTTTTTTGCTTTATATATTACTCCGTAAATACCGAGCATGTTAGAAATGAGTTTTATTTTAAACTCAAATGAGTAAAATGCCTAAATAAAATGAACATACACAAACGAGCTTTTGATTTTTTGAAAACTCATTTTGTAAATTACCATTTAGTACATCTGTTATGTTCATTTTAAAATGTTATATGTGGCATATTACTCCAACCTCCGTTATTGAGTATTAGAATCGTGTGTTTGAGTATCATGATTTGTGGTCTCATCTTGTAAGTTACATATGCTCATTTGTATAGGTTTGATGCTTATTAAAAATTCATTAATGCTCATTTAATAGAAATCATGACTTTCATTAATCTCAATAGAGGGGGTTTGATGCTTAATGAAAATTTCGTGATGCTCAACTAACAAAGCAACTAACAAATTCATTAATACTCATTGTGTAAGTTACGTATGTTCATCTGATACTGATCATGTGCTCATTTTATAAAGTTGCATATGCTCATTTGTACAGGCATGATGCTCATTAAGAATTCATTAATGCTCATTTAATAGAAATCATGGTTTTCATTAATTTCAATAGAAGAGGTTTGATGCTTAATGAAAATGTCGTGACGCCCAACTAACTAAACAACTAACAAATTCATTAATACTCATTTTGTAAGTTACGTATGCTCATCTGATACTCATCATATGCACATTTTATAAATGACATCTAAAAAGTTCATATTTCAAAAGTATCATGATACTCAATATTATACTTTTAATACTCAACAGAAAAAGTGTAATGCTCAGTAAAAGTTCATGAATGCTCATTTGACAAGAACCGTGATTTACATCTCAAAATAAGAGGTTTGATGCTCAATGAAAATGTCGTGACATTCAAGTAATAAATCTTACGATTTTCATATTAATGCGCATTTTGTAAGTTGTATATGCTCATTTGATACTAATGTTATGTTCATTTGTAAAATGTCATATAAACGCATATTTCAAAAGTATCATATCACATTAAAGTCGTATATTGAAATTCATAGGAATTGCATGTTTATACATAAAATTTAACAAGTTTCTATAAAAGAAAAAATATCAAAAAAATGAATTAGAAGTTGTGAAACAGAAACCACGATTCTGAATATTAGACTCCTAATACTCAACATAATAAGTATGATGCCCATTAAAAGTGCGTTATTGCTCATTTAGCAGAAACTATGATTTTCATCTCAAAAGAGGAGTTTTGATGCTCAATGAAAGTGTCGTGATACTCAACTAACAAACCTGATAATTTTCATATCAATGCGCATTTGGTAAGTTAATTTGCTTATATGATACGAAGTACTTTTGAAATATGCATTAATATGACATTTTACAAATGAGCATAACATCAGTACCAAATGAGCATACATAACTTGCAAAGTGCACATTGATATGAAAAACACAAGGTTTGTGAATCTAATGTAAAATAGTACTTTAAACCAAATGCATTGATATGACATTTAGAAAATGAGCATAAGATCGGTACCGGATGAGCATTAAAACACTTTCGATGAGCATCATGCTTATTTGGTTGAGTATTAGGAACTTAACAATGTGAATCTAATGCCATCTGCAACTTTTAAAATTTGCATGAGTATGAGATTTTAAAAATGAGCATAATATGATTGCAAATTGAACAAATGTAACTTACAAAATGAGTATTGATATGAAAATCATAATTTTTTAAGTTTCTCTTCGAGACATTTTTATTGAGCATCAAACCTTTTCCATTGAGTATTGAAAACATGCAATTGAGTATTATGGTCTGTGCTCCTATATCTATAACCATCTCCTACATGAATCTAAAAAATAAACAGAAACATTTAATACTATTTTATTTTAAAAGTAAACTGAAACATTTAATTGTATTTTATTTAATACACTAATTGAATATAATATTAAAGTAGAAGTTTTCTAAAAAAAATGAGAACAAACAAAAAAAAGAATAAACAAATGAAAAGAAAAAAAGGAACGTACGAAGTGGAAGTGAAATAAGGACAAAAAAACGTACAAAGTGGAAAAGTAAGGACTAAAGATGTGCAGGAGTGGAGCCGTAATTGAAAATTGAAAGGGAGTTGCTCCAGCGCCTCAGCTTATCAAAGTTGCAACTAATTGCAAAAATACCGGATGTATACGTACATCCGGGTGTAGGATATAGGCACTCTAGTTCCAGCTAACTGGCTTAATTTTGTCACTTTTCTCTTTTGATTAGATGTCTTGGCTGAAGATTCTCAATTTTATTTTAGAAAATATCTATCACTCTTAAAAAATAATTTAATCTTCAAATATTAAAAATAAAGTTCTTTCCTTAAATATTACGTAGTATTATGTACTTAAATACAGTGATGGAAAAAAAATACTATTTTCGTCCCAAAATGATTAGCTGTTTCCAAAACTTTGACCAATAATATATATTTATTGGAAATTATTTATAATATAAAAATGATATGAAAATGTTCTTTGTTAAAAGTACTTTCATAAATGTATAAAATCTGTAACTTTCATAATATTATACGTACTAATCAATTCAAAACCATGGTCCTTATTTTGGGATTTGGCTAAACATTTTGGGACGGAGATAGTATGACTTGAGTTACCGCAAACATATTATCACAGCCTTTACAATGTAAATTAGAACATCATCATGGTCACTAAAATTACAATTATAGTGACTAAAGCATTGAGAGTCACTGTTAAAACGTCTCAAGCCGGAAAAGTTTGGATGAACAAAGTGGTATATTAACACATTGGTTACTCCTCCTATCAGGTTGACCTTTTAGGATGGAACCTCATGTCTTAACATGGTATCAGAGACAAATTGATCCATGGTGTGGGGGCCCTTATGAAAAATGATGACGTGATTATAAAACGGCCGGATGGGAAAAACACAACGGAACGATGAAAAAAAATGAATGATGGCACGATTCAGACGAAATGTCTGGTCGTGAGGAGGGGTGTTAAAATGTCTCACACCGGAAAAGTTTGGATGAACAAAGTGATATATTAACACATGGTTTACTCCTTCTATCATGTTGACCTTTTGGGATGGAACCCCGTGTCTTAACAGTCACATTTTTTTACCATTACCTTTACTTTAGTCATATGTTTGTCATTATTATTTCTTAAAAATATTACACTTATAACACCACATTTATCATTAATGACCTTGACCTCAATTATGAGGGCGGTTGAGATTAATTTTGTTTCTAACTTTCTATTTTTTTGCAAATAAAAATAGAATCAATTTAGGGTATGTTTGGTTCAAGGGATGTCAGATTACCATGAGAATGTTAGATTACTGGGTATGTTAGATAGATGAGAATGTGATTAATGTATAGCCCATTTGTGTTTGGTTACGCTTATAGGAATGTCACATTAAGTTATTTGGTTGAATGATGTCTTATATTGCATATTTGGTGAATTACTTGAACGCCCTTTAAATATTTGTTTCTTAACACATTAAAATTATCAATTATTTAATGAGTTTCATGCACAATATGGAAACGCACCCCCTCCCCAAACACGGAGATCTTCATTTAAAGGAAAATCATTTTTGAAATCTACATTTGGCAATCTTATGAAAAAAAAGTAAATCAACTCCTATTGTTGAACAAAGTTCAGTTAAGGAGCTTTCTATGTATCTAACAAGAAATTGAGCGGCTGACAACGTGCTAACGGATTATAGAACGAGATTGAGCGCAAACTCTCTTGAGATGCTTGTTTGCTACCACGATTGGTTGAAGGCCCAACGTAGAACTCAAGAACTTAGCATCACCTCCACCCAACACTTTATGGAGGAAACAACAACCGACGGTGGCGGAGATTCCGATCGATTATTATTTATTAGAAAATCTATTTCATAT